GAGAGAAAAAAACAACTGGTTTTAAGTTTTTTTCTTATCTAGCCTGGAGCACGAGCAAAGGTCTGACCCAGCACGCCTGGCACCGCGCACATGAAATTTGATACAACACGCATCTAATTCGACACCGTCTCCGAGCAACCCAGGCCGGACCCATGGCAGGATTCGGTCAATGAGTGTAGAGTCTTATTGCCGGGAGGTCTGGGAAATGAAGTCCTGCAGGTTTGCTGCTTCAGGCACGTGCCTCCAGAGAATGGGTCGTCGAATAAGTCGAAGAAAAGAAAAAGCTGTTAACGTGGCTCAGCGATATTACAGCAAGTGCGGCGCGGTACAGCTGGCCATCTGTCATCACCACGAACAAGACTTGTTAACTTGTTATGTTGCTACAAATATGCAGAGTTCCGTGCCGAACTGAAAACATTTGTAGAGCCGTTTGCGCAAAGCAATAAGTAGGGGTTTGCGCAAAACCACGGAAGTTTTCTAGAGAACTACTCTCCTAAGGATGTGGTAGAAATTGGCGATAAATGGCATATGGCTTGCGGGCAAAACCATAGCCATCCACCGTTTCTAATATTGATGCAATCCCGTCGAAGAGTGGGTATATCGTAGCCACAAAACCTATGGACAGGAGCTTCGGATCAACGGCGGGATCGAGCTCAGCCACCGAAGTGCGAGTCCGGATCGCGAGATCATGATCTCGCGATTCATGACTGATTCCCGATCATGATTCTCGTAATCATGGTCGTAAGGTGCACCGTGGAGAAAATACTCACAATAACGTCTAACGCTGAACAATTTACGTTTGTTCATGCGAGAGCAGTTTTATTTATTTGCGCATGGAAAAGCACAACAGGTGGGATAAGCATCACCACATCTCTGCGTGTGTGTTGGTTGGGAACAGTAATGATGTTGGTGGCATTTGCGTGCGACACTTTGTACAGAAGAATTTAACACAACTCTTTAACATATGTTCAGTTGACTTGTCATGTTGACAACGACAATGTGCTCGAGAATTAATTGCTCGCCATTGCGGGAGGGGACCGTTAAAACACCCAACGGCTCAAGAAAGAACGGTGGAAGCGCGGTGCTATCTCAAAAGGCATGATCAAGTGCTTGTTCATTGGCCACTGGATATTCCAAAATTATTGTTTTATCGCACAAGTCGCAGTTCACGCATACCATTGGGAAAGCGGCACTGAACGAACACCGACTTAAAAATATACTTTTATTCGGGGCATGCCTTGAAACGGCTTATGACCTCGCCAGCAAAATTGTGGCATTGTCAGTGATAGTCTAATTCATTTAACAGCCGCAATTACACTTGCCAGGAAAAGGTGCTACCCATGCTGAAGAGCTTCCACCAAGTACACAACAAGGTTATCGCTTTACCTCTTGTTTCCCGTCCTAATATAAAACAAATCTAAGTTCCTCAACACGTGCCACCATACTGAGGATTTGGTTATTCAATGTGCATTGCATATCCTCGCGACGATTTTTGAGAAGTGTCTACGCATCGAAGTGGGGGCGTTAAACGCCTGACAGAATATTGAAATCTGTAATACCCAGAGCAGGGCCAAACCCTGGCGTCACATGATATGTTTCGCAACTGCATCGACCACATTAATGGTGAGTGAATATGCGAATTGTGGACGCAATTTATTAAATGCTCCACGAGGCACCACACAGAAAGGTAAAAATGCGTGAGATTTAGTATGCCTCGTCTGCCAAGCATATGCGCACACACTATCTTTCTATGAATACTCCTGCAATTTGTTTGGTAATTCACGTACTGTGCCTTACCATTTCATTTCTACTCGTAGACATCCTTCTCATCTATGTGACAACTGATGAAATCCACAAAACGGAACACGGTGCTTCGAATATAGCTTAACACAGCGCTCGGGCGGGAAGTCAAATTGACCCCCTCCGCCCGAAGGTTTTGCCAGAATAGTTTCCAAACGACGTGGCACCGCCGCGCCAAATTTTGCATAGCTGTAGACAATTAAATAGCGGATCGTTTGACATCAAAAATATAAATGTACCTGGTAAGGTCCGCTGACCTATGGCAGGTTGGTCAGGCCATGGTTTCAGCGAAGTCAATTTCTAGGGAATCGTTTGATCTGGTGCAACAACGAAATGTTAGACGGAGCCATACATCTCTGAAATGCTTGCTCAGGCAACACAAATATTGAATAAGCGAACTGTATTGACCTAAGGTCAGGTACAAAGTTCAGGCCAAGGTCAAAACCAACCTGTTTTTTACTTTAGGGCTTGCAGTATGGGATAGTTTCTGGTGCTCATTCCGAATTTATTGATAGCAGGAACCGCATTATACATCTTCCATGGACTTCTTGGAGGTCAGAATAGGCTATTGACCTAAATTGACCCGGGTCAACATTTTGTTTTTAGAAACATACTGCCTGGTGTTATCTTTGTCGCTTATTCAAAGGCAAAACTCAGAGTAGTCTTGTATGATTTTGGTCACCTTGACCTTCAAAAGGTCAAGCAGGGTCACTGACCTTAACTGAGCATGTGAACTTTTGCTTAGAAACAGTTATCTAGGCTCTGGGGCACTTTGGAGACCAACCTGAGAGTTGACCTCATTTGACCCGCAGGTCACGACCTAAAAACCTCAAACTTTGACCTAAATGAGTTCACGTACAGGCCAACACACACGATGAATTTGGTGTCTATAGCTCCCTTAGGTCCCGAGATCTCAGGGGGGTCAAGTGGACCCCCGCCCGAGCGAAGGGTATCTAGCCAGACACCCGGGCACGTGTTAAAAAGAAGCACGAACGCTGAAGGGAACACACAATTAGCCGTTATGAACACTGGGGAGGCACGTCTAAGTTACAATTGGATAAATGAACATAGCTACTCAAACATCTAAGGTAATCATGCGAAGGATGAATGGAACGCGAACACTGATTGTAACGACAAAGTTGCAACACAACTTACACTGCAGAATGAACAACGACGACTTTGGAACTGATAGTATATCACTGCTAACTATGTCGTTGAAAAAGACAAATTATCATTCGCAGTATTGCTCGGCTGGGGTTTACTCCTAAGTGTGAGTATTCTCATATAATTTTGTGCTAGAGGCATTGACGGGTATGAGTATTTCAAGCATGAGTTTTGTTGTGTGATAGTAATGTGCATAAGTCTTTGCAGTAGGAGTAATGTCGCGCATAGCCAAAGACTTTAAGTTTTTGCAGTGGAAGTAATAATGGGTGTAATTTTTGCAGAAGCTTGTCGCTTAGCACTAATGTCGGGTATAAGTTTTGAGACTCGGAGTAATGGAGTACAACTGCTGCACCGTTGCACGACACTCCTGTCGGCAGTGGTTTGTGTCATAGCACTAATATGGTGGAACCCGGAATAGTGGACACAATATCGGACGAGGGCGTTTGCGTGACACATTAGCGTTTGGTTTCTTAGAACATGAAGTTAAGCCTTTCAACACAGACTGGAAAAGGTAGCATCGGTCATAAGTCAATGCATGAGTGACAGTTGCATTTATTACCAAGACTGATTTATTCCTAATGCTACGTGGCTGCGCTGCACGCTACGTGACTGCAAAGTACGGATTACGCGCAACCCTAGCTAACAAACTGCATCCCAACATCCAATTTCCGGTCCGAGTTCGAATTCTGGTTCTTTTGCTCAGCTATTTAATTTTGTTGCGCGTGGCTCTGTCCTTCTAGGATCCATGTTCCGATTATGTGTTGGAAGATTCGTTAAGGCCCAATTCCAGCCGTAAACATTGCCGAGGAATGCTCAAGATCAAGGCACGGATCATTTCAAGGATTCCTTAAGATCGGACGTCGAGTCTCAAGAGGGAATTTTTCTCGTTTGAAGATGCTGAACAAACATCAGGTATGATGAAACAAGATTGTTTATAACCAGAATATAAATAAAAGCATACCGTGGGTATGCTTATAAGTGGAAAAGACTGCTCTGTACAACACCTTTTCTCTGTAGAGTAAACACGCTCGTCGACACATTCTTGTTTGATTACGTCATCGTAACTTGCAACACATTGATTAAGAGCCTTATAGGCGGTCGTTTTATCTGAAAATCACGCCCGCAAACACCAAATGAGAACGGCTCAACCATGATACTTTTGGCTTTCATCGCCGCATGCCTTATAGAACGGCAAGCTTTCAGTTACGATATTATAACATCGTGAATGCCAAGGCGATCATATCCGTGACGCACTGGTGTCATAGCCGTGGCGCACTGATGTCATATGCTTGTCCCACTGGTATCATATCCGTGGCACACTGGTGTGATGTCCGTGGCCCACAGGTGTCATATCCGTGGCGCACTGGTGTTATGTCACTGGTATCATGTCCATGGCCCACTGATGTCATATCCGTGGCTCACTGGTATCATACCCGCGGCACACTGGTGTCATGTACGTGGCTCACGGCTGTCATATCCGTGACCTATCGGTGTCATATCGTTGGTGCACTGGTGTCATATCCGTCGCTCACTGGTATCTCATCCGTGGTACACTGGTGCCTTATCCGTGACACCTGGTATCATATCCGGGGTTCACTAGTATCACATCCGTGACCCACTGGTGCCATATCCGTGGCACACTGGTGCCATATCCGTGGATCTACACGCCAGTGAAGCTTACGGTGCGGCAGGAGCAGGAGTGAGGGTCACGTGTCAGTTTAACACCACCAGGACCGCTCGAAGCGTGGAATCAACAGCAGCCCCACTGCGGCCATTCGGGGACCAGCGCCGAGTCTAGCCCGCTTCGCAAGGCCACCGACCTGTCGGCCCCACGTGATGTACATGTGTGTCAACCAGCAGCCACGTCACAGACACGCTCCTGCCTGATGACACCTGTGTGCCTGAAGCAAAGTGAGCCGTTGCACGACACCCATCACGCTCCGACATTGTCCCCTTGTTTACTGCGGGCGCAAGGCTGGGAGGAATGTCACCTGTGGGTATTCAGCCAAATATCCGTCTTTATGAAATTACGTTTATTCAAAACACAGTTGAGGTACAGGTATTAAGCGTAATATGCCATGCAACCAGCCTACCTATTCAACTGAAACAAACCTCTATGGCACTGTTCTTCGGAACTGAAACAAAGGTGTTGCCGCTCTGTTCATCGACTGGCGTGCCTTTCTCCGCCGAATCCAGTGATTCAACGACTTCGTTCTGCGCACCGACACCCACAAATGACGTGAGTCGATAGCCCGCAGCTGGCAGCAGCAAGCATAGTACACTGGGTGACGCACAGGGGGAGCAACGGGCATATACGACTTCCACCCCTCCCCCCAACCCAACACGCATACACAGCATATAACGCATCGGAACAGAAGTCAGTTTGCCACAAGCAGACACATCGCCGACACGGCGGCCTCTATCCTATATACAGTATTATGTTGCAGGAGGTCCACATTGGCACCTCCTGACGCGTTCTGAACCCGGTACAGTGCCACCCGTTTAGGTCACTCCGTCCACCAGCGGGGCGACCCTACAGCGGCGGAGTGCACCGTCCGTCTCTGTCTCTCTCTACAGCACTGCGGCACCTTTTCCTGAGGCAGAACAGAACAAGCTCGGACGAGCAAGCCCTCAGCGGACACGGGTCAGCGACACGGTCCGAAGTAGGGACCACCCACACCGGGCGGTCTCCGGACCATCCGATGGGCGGTCTGCGGACCACCCGGGTCCGCCGGTGTCTGGTCCGCTGCGCGTCCTTCTTGGCTTTCCCTGCCCGAACCCTGGTTTCGCGGACACACCGCCAGCGTCGCTGAGCGCCAGCGGCACAGCCGCGCTGGCGGCCACCGCGGCCTGCACCGGTGCCGGCCAGCGGCGGGCGCTTCGCTTGCCCTCGCGAGGGTGAGCACAGCCGACTACCACAGAGCGCATCGTGTCGGCCGCCCCGGCCGCGGAGCTCGGCGACTCCTCCATCCCAGCGAGGTCGGCGGGAGGGCCGCGCCAGAGGAGGCCTGGCGGTCGCCGAGCGTCCGCACGTGGAGCCCGGACTGGACCGATTGGACCCCACGGTGGCGGCGCGCAAATATCCCGGGTGAAGTTTCGTTGCCGATGGCGAATTTTGTACTCGGGAGTTCTGCGACTGGTAGCACGCCCCGCCCGTCTATCACACTACAGCTGGGCATGGTTGGGGCCAAAACCTCGCGTATCACATTATGTACAAGCTGCTGGGCGGACCAAGGCGTAACGAAGTAGCAAAGGGTGGCGACCCAACCGACAGCCGCAGCCATGACCAGTTCATTGAGGCATATCGCCAACAGGGCACGCTTTCGGTAAACACGGCGCCCTGGCAGTGGAGTTAAATACATAGAACCCGCTGACATGCTGAACCCGATCCCTGAAGCCTGAAGCCACGGAAAAAGGCTAGGAACGAAACGACCTCCGCCACTGCTCCAACAGCGTGCGTTAAAAGTGGCGGAGGCCACGGAAAACAGAGCTCTTTGAGTCACCTGCAGCAAGATAACGACAACAAGGCCAAGCGGGGCGCCAATCACCAGCGGCGGACACGCGGCGACCCGTGGCATCGCCCCCGTTCAGAAGTGCACCTCGCGCACATCCGTAGGGGTGCCGGCGTCGCTGTAGTCCGCCGCCAGGTCGCCAGGTGGCAGGCCGGTCGGCCGGCTCCGCTCCGGCCGGCCGGCCTGCTCTTCGGCGAAGGAGCGTATGGCCTCCTGAATGTCGTCCAGGCAGCGCTGCAGCTGCTCCTGGAAGGGGGGACGGAGGTCAGACCCCGCGCAGCACAGGTCACGCCGGCGCCACGTGGAGGGGGGCACCGACATCAGATAGACATACAGGTGCGCCGGCTTCACACGGCACGTTGTTTCGGGCGTCGCTAGTTGACATGCTACAGTTACAACGCGAATACGTTCATGGGCTGCCTGTCTGCTCAGGCCGATCGCGGGAAATCTGACATCGATTGATGCCGGGACCGAGGCCGAATTTGTGACCGCAGACGATTCAGAGGAGAATACCACACAGGATGGTAGCCACTACCACTTTTCTTTTTCGGGTCCCGGTGCACATTGCTGAACTGTTTTACATTACGACCTGGGAGTAAGAAAACGTGCCTCAGTGAAGATGGGCTCCATCTGAGATGGCAGCTCTCATAAAAGCTCAGACTGGAACCGTCACAGCTATCCCACATATTTGTGTGTAGTGCAGGCCTGCGCAGCTCGGCCAAAGCGCTCCGTTCCGACGGCACTTCGGTGGGGCCTCTGACCACAGCTTCCGTCACGGACCGGGCTTACGTGAGGCCTCACCCAGCACCACGGAGCGTGTCTGTGGCGAGGCCTCTCTGACAAGAGCGCATCCGACGCCGGGCCAACAGAAGTCGCACGGTATAGTCCAAAGCCAGTGGCATAGACCGATCGGGGCGGCTGCCCACTCGCTGCCTCGCCGTCACGTATTCGCCAAACGGCCGTCAGCCGCATCGCGTGGGTGCAGTGCAGTGGACGCGATCCACTCAGTGTGCTCGGCACGCACGCAACAGGCCTCGTTCGCTGTCGTCAACGCACGCGGCTCGTACATACGTGGTGTGGTGCAGCTAACTTGACAGACGACAAAAGGACAAACGGGAGGTGATATGACGATGATCAACTGAGTGGAAAATGACTGATTTCAATACCACACTAGTTCCATGGCTCGGAGTCCACACCACAGAGTGAGCCCACCCCAAGCCGCTAGTGGCCAGTGCGCGGCGCCGCCGGTCCGGCCGCCCTCCGCCTGCCGGGCGGCCCAGCCAGGGGCCAACGCCGGGTGCCGGCGCGGGCCCAGAGCTTCGGCAGGTCACGTGACCGCCGCCAGGTTCAAGGCCTGCCGCGCCGCGGCGGCCGAGCTACGTCGGGCCAGGACGGGCCGGGCTGGCGGACCGGCGCCCGACACGGCGGACTGACCGGCCGGCTGCTCGCACACATGCCTGGCTGAGCAAGTCTCGCGAAGGCCGAGTGATGGATGCGAACTAAAACTGTGTGTCGCGCCGTCAGTGAGCAAAACACAAAATTTAGGTACCTGACCGTGGATGGTTGCGCTATACCGTTATGGTTTTTCAGGCTTATACATATCGTTGGTTGCGTGATAAACATGGGAAACTCAAGTCGAAGACATCGCCCTAGAAAAAGGCAAGAAACTCGATGTAGCACAGGGTGAACATCACAGCGCATGGCAAGCTGAATCACATCAGAAATCTGTTTTGCCATTTTTGCAGCCTCAATATGCTCCGCTCGCCGAAAATAAATATGCCCGAACACGATAAAAATCGTGCCTTCCCAGCCAACTCTCAGCCAACGAGATTTTTACCAGCACTCATAACACTATTTCTCCGATCGGCGACGGAAAATGCCTGCTTCGCGATAACATTCTCACGAACGCCAGCCTGGAGGACACGACTGACATGGAGACGACAGCGACGCAATCTCGTCGTCGATCTTGTCATGGAAAGTGACTCGCTCGCACTAACGTCAGGCCAACGTCTGCATGTCGGTCGTGTGACAAGTACCGGATACACGGCGCTCCATATTAACCAGTTCTCTCCAGGAAAACTAAATGGCGCCGGTCCGCCGCTGAAGCGGTTTCCCATCGGAGCGGGGATTGAGAGGGCGCCCGAAAGCCGGCCAGGGGACTGTCAATCGCCCATCAGAGCGACACTGGTAACCAACTGCGCCGCAACCGCCTACCCCACTGGGCCCCCAGCCGCCCTGAAAGCAAGGGCACTGAACCCCGGCGGCGACCGACAATCGCTTCCCCGCTATTAGCGATCCCATGTCGACACAACGCCTGCCGGACACGACGCAAGCCAGGCGGACGGACAAGCCAGGCGGACAGACAAGCCAGGCGGACGGAAACCCCCTCCACGCGCGAGCGCGGTGGGAGGCGAGCAGGGCGGACCGGTGTGGCTGCACGGACCGGCAGTGGGAGGCGAGCAGAGCGGGCCGGTGTGGCTGTGGTGGGAGGTGAGCAGAGCGGGCCGGTGAGGCTGCGGTGGGAGGTGAGCAGAGCGGACCGGTGTGGCTGCGGTGGGAGGCGAGCAGAGTGGGCCGGCGTGGCTGTAGTGGGGGGCGAGCAGAGCGGGCCGGTGTGGCTGCGGTGGGAGGCGAGCAGAGCAGGACCGGTGTGGCTGCGGTGGGGGGGGGGGGGGCGAGCAGAGCGGGCCGGTGTGGCTGCGGTGGGCAGCGAGCAGAGCGGGCCGGCATCGCCGCGCCACTGGCTGCGGCAGCGGGCGGCCGCACGCTGGTCCAGCGCCTGGCAGGAGGCCCGGCTCGCCGGCAGCCGGCGGCCGACAAAGGGATGACCCGCCGTCCTTCCCCGCCATTTGTTCCGGTCGATACAGTTTCCAGCGGACGGGCCGCGGAGTAACGGACCCTTCCACTCGACTCAAGCCGCCGGCCCGTGGCGTGGAATGTCGTTGACTAGCGAGCCCGAATCTCAGACCCCGTACAATCGGGATGGAGCGCGACCTATTCAGGCCACTTGATGTCTCAATAGTGTGAGAAATAAGCCTGCGTAAAAAAGAGCAGCATGAATTATAATTTTTGACAAAGCACGTGCAGTTAAGTCATCTTTTCTCCTAACCTGAAGATAAGGAGGCTAATCCCGAAGCAGGCCATTGGAGGACCCTGGGAGATTAGGTGTGATGACAAGCAACTGTAAACAACGCTTCACAGCATCAGGCAAATGGTGATCATTGCCCTTCTCATCCGAATATCACGGCCGTTAAGATGGAAAACATTGCGTGATATTTTGTCGCGCGTTTACGTGCAAGGTCGGAGGTTCTCACGCATAATGTCGCACTGGAGCCAGATCATGGATAGAAGCGGATCTCTTTAATCGAACCTGCGTCGTTTTGGCCAGCAAAATGAAGCAGCAGTTTTGCATTTCATAATACAAGCATGCTTCATTATACGGGATGCAGAGAGAGCCGAAACAACCGTCGGTCAAAGGTAACAGCTTGGTAGGACTGAGTAACAGCATTAACAAGTCAGAGTGTGTACAGGCCACTATTTTGGGGGTTTGGTACCCAACATTCACCTCGGAAAAAATGAATTAAGATATATGATATGCGATAGATCAAGTCTTGTGCACGTGCCTGTATTTCACTCCGCGAGCAGCAGCGGCCGCAAATGTAAAGGGCAGATAACAGAAGTTGGCGGCACAACGTATTACACAACAGTGATACTCAGAAGGCAACTTCCCATTCTCATATTATAAAAGAAGAAGAAATACCATTTTCGACACACTGGAAGCGCAGCGGAAATGAACACCCTCAACTAGCAGGTCAGCTCCTGGGACTGATCGGAAAAGAGGCATTTTGTGCTGAAAACACCATGACCATCGAGTTGGAGCCCGATACAGAGTTGCCAGCGTGCGCGAGCTGCTCAATGCTCCGGCCGGTAGCGCGCGCGTCGTTTGCCGGTGTGTGCAGCCGCGCTGTTCAGGCGACACTGACACCCGCGGTCACGTCGACGGGTTGGTTTGTTGTTTGGATTACAGCCCTTTCGGCCAGTTTCGATCATTTCGGGGTTACGAGATGAAGGCGCATGAATAGCGGCGGAGCAGGACTACAGGCGTCTGGGACTCGACCGCCGGGACTAAGCTCGCGCAGGGACCCCTCTGTGGGGTGTGCGCCTGGCGCTCGGACGAGTGGGCCCTCCGGCCCATTCGTGGCTGGCGCATGTAGTCTGCCCGGACACGCGGGGCGTCGCAAAGATGCAGGATTAAGCAAGACACAGGATGACAGGACGGATGTGCCGACCGCAGGTGACCTCGGCCCGGCCGCGAACAAGGCAGGTTGAGGTTGGTTGAAGGGGGGGGGGGGGTGCTATAGGAGGGCTGGAGTCAGCTGAGGGTCTGGGGTCAGTCAGGGGATACGCCGGCGACATGTCCTGGGTCCAGCCCCACCGCCAGACGACTCCCGTACCTCGTGACCGTACAACGTGCCTCGGCCGGGGACGGGGATTGAGGGGAGGGGGGCGAACCCCGTGACACCGGTACGCCGGTGAACGAAGCGCAGACGCCTACGATAACACCTACGTTGGGTTCAGAGGGCGCGGGTTACAGACAAGGTCGGCGGCGGGAAACGACGCGGCGTGACGGCGGTTTTCACCCGCCCACGAGTTTTTTCTCCGCAAACGTGATGCCCAAACCTGAGAGACATGATCCTCCACAGACATGATCCCCAAGCCTAAGAGAATCCACGTGTCAGAGGGCAGCTCAGCAAGGAATCTCGAGAACATCCTCGGAGGTGAAAGAATATCCGACAACGTCCACCGATGATGCCCAACCAGAAACCACAGATTGAAGCGGGCATACCTGGCCGTCACCCCCTCAAACCTGGTCGGATGTGGGGGGGGGGGGAGGGGCAGATCCACCCGGCACGCTCACCGTCTCCACGTCGGTGGCCTCGTGCAGCCGCTGCAGGCAGTCAGTGATGACGGCGGCGGCGGACAGGTCCTCGCGCGCCGCGCCACGCTACCGCCGCCGCGATGCTAGCAGACGCCACCGCGCTGGCCGTGTACTGGGTGAACTGGTGCTCTGCAACGACCACAGGCGTCAGTGTCGGCCACCGGCCATCTGCTGTCCGCCGGAGGAGGTTCGGATCCGGTCAGGCCCGCATCTGCAGACGGGACTTACAGGCGCCAGACTGAACGACGCTAGCTGCGAGGGTATCCCAGTCATTAGAAAAGACGGGCCGATGTAAAATGGTCTTGCATCAGAGAAGGACACGGGCTGAGTGCAGCGATACAGCGCCATGAGGCACCAACGTCGGGGTTCTTCGGGTCATCGACGAAAAATTCCACTCCGAAAAATAATAGGTTCGAAAAGTTAGGTTGCAAGGTCACCCATGGTCACACAAGGTCAAGGAGACGAATCAGACATATAACTGACGCCGATGCAAGATGAACAACTATAACAACAACTATAACGATAATAGCAGTACAGCAGCTCATCAACCATACAGTAAGCTAATGGACGACCCCACTTCCGGGCGGGAGACGCTGAAGGGCAAGGAGACGCAGCAGTCGCAAGGAGACGCACAAGGTGAAGGAGACGAATCAGACATATAGCAGACACTGATGCAAGATTAACAACCATAACAACAACTACAACGATAATAACAGTACAGCAGCCCATCACCCAAACAGTACGCTAATGGACGACCCCACTTCCGGGGCGGGAGACGCTGATGACCGGCAGCAGGCGGTTCCAAGCGCAGCGATAATGGGCGACAAGTGAAAGCAGTCAGGACTGGTCATTAGAAGGTAAACAAAGAAGTTACGGTTAGCGATTCATACTAGATTCATTCATAGAGATTAGGTGCCCAACAGAGGACTGCCAGGGATGGACAATGGACGTGTCAGGTACTAATGCAGTAATACCATTGGGTGCAAACATAATGATATGATGCGGGGCTAAGCTTTGACAAATCCTGAAACTAAAAACAAAGAGAAACCCAATACAGCCCTACTGCGTCGTGAAAAGCATATGCATGTTCTGCTAGCACAAGGGTAATTTTAAACATACAATTTCATGTTGAACTAAATGGGGTGTTCCGCACATATATGAAGTTTTGAACTGGCATAGCCATCTTGAAGACATTTCGGTGCTGTTCACAATTCTGCCCCTCTGGATACCTAAACCCCTCTAGTTTCTAATCCACAAACCTGCAAATATGGGGAAAGGTATACCGGGGAGAGTATTTCAGTCACCTTGGCATTCATGGCGTCATAATGACATCATTCAAATCCTGTCATTCCATAAGCCATGCATCAATCAAGGTAACAAATGTAATCGTCGACTGACAACCCAGTACAACTGTCCCTAACAGCCCAACACAACTGTCCCTGACAACCCCACACAACTGTCCCTGACAACCCCACACAACTACCCCTGACAAACAGAAACAACTGTTCCCGACAGCCCAGTACAACTGTCCTTGACAACCCAACACAACTGTCCCTGACAACCCCACACAACTGTCCCTGACAACCCCACACAACTACCCCTGACAACCAGAAACAACTGTCCCCGACAGCCCAGTACAACTGCCCTTGACAACCCAACACAACTGTCCCTGACAACCCAGCGCAACTGTCCCCGACAACCCAGCACAAACTGTCCCTGACAACACAACACAACTGTCCCTAAAAACACAACACAACTGTTCCTGACAATCCAGCACAACCGTCCCTGACAACACAACACAACTGTCCCTGATAACCCCACACAACTACCCCTGACAACCAGACACAACTGCCCCTCACAACTCAACACAACTGTCCCTGACAACCCAGCACAACTGTCCCTGACAACACAATACAACTGTCCCTGACAACCCAGCACAGCCACCCCTGACCACCAGACACAACTGTTCCTGACAACTCAACACAACTGTCCTTGACAACACAACAAAACTGTCCCCGACAATACAACACAACTGTCCCTGACAACCCAGCACAACTGTCCTCGACAACCCAGCACAACTGTCCCCGACAACCCAGCACAACTGTTCCTGACAACCCAGCACCACTGTCCACGACAACCCAGCATAACTGTCCCTGACAACACAACACAACTGTCCCTGACAACCCAGCACAACTGTCCCCAACAACCCAGCACAACTGTCCCTGTTAACCCCACACAACTATCCCTGACAACCTAACACAACTGTCCCCGACAACCCAATACATCAGTCCCCGTCACCCGAGCACCCCTCCATCGGCAGCCCGGGGTGACCACGCCTCCTTTTGTAGCAAGCCCAGCCAGTCGGCTGGCGGCCGGGCTCAGCGCTGCTGCCTTTGTCAGCGCACCACCGCATCCGGCGAGCGGGGTGGGGCGGCCGCGCCGCCGCCTGTCTCCCGGCGGGAGCAGGCTCGGGGGCTCCCCGACCGGCCGGCCGCCGCCCACACCCGGAGGCGGAGCTACGCCGCCGCCGCCACCGTGCGCACCGAACGCGCGCCAGTAAGACAAGCCGAAGCACAGCCCCCCGCCGCCCGGGGCGCAGGGGCATCCCCGCCCGGGACACAGCGGCATCACCGCCCGGGTGCAGCGGCATCACTGTCTGAGGCACGGCGACATCACCGCCCGGGGTGCAGCGGCATCATTGTCTGAGGCACAGCGACATCACCGCCCGGGGTGCAGCGGCATCATTGTCTGAGGCACAGCGACATCACCGCCCGGGTGCAGCGGCATCATTGTCTGAGGCACGGCGACATCACCGCCCGGGGTGCAGCGGCATCATTGTCTGAGGCACGGCGACATCACCGCCCGGGGTGCAGCGGCATCATTGTCTGAGGCACAGCGACATCACCGCCCGGGGTGCAGCGGCATCATTGTCTGAGGCACGGCGACATCACCGCCCGGGGTGCAGCGGCATCATTGTCTGAGGCACAGCGACATCACCGCCCGGGGTGCAGCGGCATCATTGTCTGAGGCACAGCGACATCACCGCCCGGGACCCAGGAACATCACCGTCCGGGGCACAGCGATTGGCATCTCGCGATTGTCATAACGAGCGACGGATTACCGATTACCGTGCGCCAGCATTTCCGCCCAGGCGACACCATCTGAAGGCGTAGGCGCCCGCCGCGGGAGAAAAACAATAGGCGTCAGGTGCGCCTGAGCAGTCGCGAAAGCGCTGGAATGGGCCCTCTCTGAAATGGGCCCCAGCCTGCGTTGCGTGGTCACCAATTTCCAGGAACTTGTACAGTCGGTGTCGAAAAATACCGCGCCACGAAAACACGTCGGCGAAGGGAGTGAAGAGACGGAGCGGACCGGGTTCGAAACAAGGCAGGTGGAGATAGAAGGGGCGCCCCCCCCCCCCCTCCCGCCAGCCTCCCAATCCTGCGGGGAATCGCAAAGGAAGGCCGTCGCCGTCCGCAGGTATTGAGCGGGCTGGGTGACGCGTCAGACCGGGACGTCCTCTGGGCAGAAGAGGGCTGTCTGGCGGCTCTGGCACAGCTGCCGACGTGTCAGCTGCTGTACCGAGCACTGATCAGGGCCGTACACAGCGTGAAACAACACGATCATGGGACGGTCAGGACCAAACACGGTCAGGGGATGACACGGTCCCGTCACGACCGGAGCATGACCGATAAAAGGCTCGGCCGGGGCACGGCTAGGACATGGCTAGGGTATGGCTCTGGCACGACTAGGGCACGGCCAGGGCACGTCCGGGACACGGCTAGGGCACGGCACGCCACCGTCGCCTCCGCCCGCACCGGCGCGACCCAGCCCCAGTCCTCCGAAAAGACCAGGCTGTGCGTGCCGCCGTCCCGTCTACCCAGCAGCACGCCCGACCGTCTCGTCTACCCCGCGACGCGCCCCCCCCCCCCCGTCCTATATACCCCGCAGCATGTCCCGCCGTCCTATCTACCCTGCAACACGCCCCACCGTCCCGTCTACTCCGCGGCACGCCCCGCCATTTCGTCTACCCTGCAGCATGCCTGACCGTCCCGTCTACCCTGCGGGACGCCCCGCTGTCCCGTCTACCATGCGGCACGCCGCGGGGAGGTTCGGCCACTGGCATGGCCACAGCGCCGGCGCTGCACAGCCCGCGTATCACCGAGTCCGGGCTGCGCGCAGTCCTCCGAAGAAGGCACACAGGTCCGTGTTTACCGGGCCGGCCAGCGTAGTAATGGGCACGGAAGCGGGCGCGGCCAGCGGACACCATTACCGCCGCGCAATTGTCTGCCGGCTCCGTGTCGAAGTCGAGCGGCGCACCCCATCTGCCGCCGACAATGCTCCTTGCGCCGGCGGCTCGGCCCGGCTGTGACCCACATCAAAGGGAAGCGGCGGCGGCGGGGTAAACAGCGGCCGTCGACGGTGACCGGGTCAGCTGGCCGGCCGTATCGGCGCCGATCGGACCGCGCTGCATGCTCGGCATCTGGGGCGGCCGCCTGGGCGGACGGTCCGCAGGCGGCCTGCAGACGGCCGGCAGGCGGTCTGCAGACGGCTGGCAGGCGGTCTGCAGACGGCTGGCAGACGGTCTGCAGACGACCCGCAGGCGGTCTGCAGACGACCAGCAGGCGGTCTGCAGACGACCAGCAGGCGGTCTGCAGACGACCGGCAGACGGTCCGCAAACGGCTGGCAGACGGTCTGCAGACGACAGAAATCCGTGTCGGGATGTCGTTCCGGCACTCGAATGCCGCTTGATGAGCTATTATATTCTGTAAGGCTAAGCTGTGGGATTTGTTCTTCTTATTCTTTAAACTAAGTTTCTTTCCAAAGGTTTACACAAGTGACTTTAAGCTCAGAAAACCTGCCAAGCGTAGCTTATTGCGTGCACATGAGCCCAGCACCCAAGTTGCGTCGTCCAGTTCGACGAACAATTTCACGCAATAGAAGCCGAGGGTTTTATGTGCCGCAGCAATGCTGCTGCACGGCCACCTCGGGCCTGGATTGACTCTCGTTGGCCGGCTGCCACGTGAACTTGCCATTTCTGTCGGACCAAACAATGAGCCCGCTCTAGGACTTGTACCCAAACCCGCTGTATGACAAGCCCAGCCTTCCTCCCCTTCACCATAGAGGCGGC